TGATGGTGTTCATCAGGGTTTACTTTGGTTGTCTGTTTCCCACTCTGTCCCCTTTGTTTGTTTTTTTGTTTTCTTTTGTTTTGAGATAGGGTCTCATTTAGCTCAGGCTAGTATCGGTGTAGCTGAGGTTGGCCTTGAGAGTTCTCTTAACCTCCCAAATCCCAGGATTATAGGTTTGTGTGACCATGCCCAGCTAGAGTACCTTCTACTGGTTTTGATAAATACACTTTAACATGTATGTACCATCATAGTTTCATACTTTTTATTTACTTTATCTATATGAGTATTTTGCCTGCATGCACCACCCACGCATGAATTCCCCTGGAACTGGAGTTACAGACAGCCTTGAGCTGTCATGTGGGTGCTGGGAGCTGAACCCAGGTCCTCTGGAGGAGCAGCCAGTGCTCCCAACTTCTGGGCTATCTCTCCAGCCCTCGCATTAGGAATTTTATTATGCATTTATTTATTGTGTGTGTGCAGGTGCACATGCGTACTCACTCACGTGCCTGTGCCAGTGTGTGCATGTCACTCTCCACTTATCCCTCCAAGGGAAGGTCTCCCTGAACTCTGGGTTTGTGTTTTCCCAGCTAGGCTGGAAGATCAAGGAGCCCCAGGAGTCCCAGATCCATGGGTATTTGTGGAGTCCCCGGGCTTGCTTTGTGGGAGCTGGGATCTGAACGCTGGTCTTCATTGCAAAGTACTCCTAAATGCTGAGCTATCTTCCTTTCCAGCTCCTTGATGGCTTTAGTTTTGAGACAGGGTAGCCTGCCCGGACTGGAGCTTTCTACACTGACCCGGCTAGCCTCGAACACCCTGCCTCTGCCTCCCGAGTGCTAGGGTCTAAGGCATTCACCACACTGTCTGACACTGTTTTTTTTCAAAGCTCCAAACATTATCTCCTTACCCCAGATGTGCTTCGGTTCATGATTCATGCATTAAAAGACATCCTGTCTGCTCCCAAGTACGGTTGTTAACAACTGTGGTTGCTACACAGATCCACACGCAGGCTCCGGTGTGAATGCAAAAATGTCCTCATTGTGCTGCAACAAGTACAACAACTGCACTGTATTCTAAGAGTTTCCTAAGAAACTGCCAAGCTGTCTTCTTACGCCGCAGCTAAAGGTTTTCCTTTCCCGCTGCAGACTGCTGCACATCCGGGTTACTCCGCGCGCCCTGTGTCAGAATGGGGGACACTCATCGGCCTTTCTGACAGGAGGGCAGTGAATGTATCTGTCAGGTCTGTAGCTTGTCGCTTTGGCTGTGCTGGGGACTGAGCCTACAGCCTCGAGGCTTCTAAGTAAGCACTTCGGGGTGGAGTAGCAAACTCAGACTTGTACATGTCTAAAATTTTTTTTTGCAGATTATTACTTTTTTTTTATGTGTTTGAAGGTTTTGTATGTGAACCCCACGCACACAGTGCCTACAGAGGCCGGAAGGGAGGGCGTCAGATCCCCTGGAATTGGAGTTACAGACGGTTGTGAGACACATTCTGGGTGCTAGGAACTGAATTACAATCCTCAGTAAGAACAGCCTATGCTTTTGGCCATTGAGCCCTTTCTCTAGGCCCCATTTCTAAAAAAGTATAAATTTTATTTATTTATTTATTACTATTATTGTTAATGTATGTGCCAGTGCATGTGTGTGCGTGTGTGCACAGGACTTGGTTCTGTCTTTCCACCTAGTGGGTTCCTGGGACTGAACTCAGGCCAAGGCTTGGTACCAAGTGTCCAGAGACACTGAGCCATCTTGCGGGCTCAGTGTAGCCTTTTTGTGTTTTCCACTTAAAGCTATAATCAGTTTTGAGTTAGGTGGTGTAAAGGCCATGAGACCTGTGTGTGGATTACTCTCCCCCGAGTGTTGGCATGTCCAGTAGACCCAGCACCATTTGTTTAAAGGCTGGCCATCCTCTCCTTATCACTGTGCTTTCTTGCCAAAGATCAGCTGACTGCGTTTATGTGGGTCTTTCTGGAATCGCTCCTCTGCTCCACTGATCAAAGTATCTGTGTGTGTGTGTGTGTGCGTGCGTGTGTGTGTGTGTGTGTGTGTGTGTATGTTTCTCTCTGTGTCTGTTTCTCTCTCCCCCTCCCCCTCCCCCTCTTCCCTTCCCCCTCCTCCCGCACTTCCAAGCTGTGCTGATTACCAGAGTTCTACAAGAGCCCTGAAGTTAGGCCGTCTTAGTCTCTCTCTACTTTGTTCATCCACTTTGGTTCTGAGGTGGCTACTCCGGATCCTTTGTTTTCGATTTAAACTCTACAATCGGTTTGCTGATGCACACAAAAGAACCTGCTGTGACTTTCACAGATCTGGGTTCGATCTACAGAGGAAACTGGGAAGAGCTGACATCCCGGGCCGGCAATGGCAAGTCTTCCTATCCATGGGTTATTTACTCGTCTCTGGTATGTTTCACCAGAGGCTTGTAGTTTTCCCCGATGGTTTCTTATTTGTATTTTTAGATCTATCTATTTTTTGGGGGGGAGTGCTAATGTAAATGATAATTTATTCTCTTGGTTTTATTTAATGTGTATTACACTTGTTAATTGATTTACGTGGGGGGAGGTGCGTACCACGGTGTGCTCATGTGGTGAGAGTCGGTTCTTGGTTTCTACCATCTGGGTCCTGAAAACTGAACTTGAGTCATCACACTTGGCATTGCAAAGCCTACATTTATTTAAAATTTTATTATTATTATTCAAAGATGTGTATATGTGTGTGCCTGAGTGTGGGCATATACACATGAGTGCAGTTGCTGCAGGAAGCCAGAGGCATCAGGTATCCCTGGAGCGGTATCAACCTGAAGTGGGTCCTAGGAACTAAACTCAGGTCCTGTAGAAGGACAGGAAGTGATCTTCATCCTCGAGCCATCTCTTCCACCCTGCTACTACGCTTTAAATGTCAAATCTACTTCCCCATTGAGGACGTGTTGGAAAGTGACTCACTTTTGTATAGTAACTTCTGGTCCTACACATCCCTTATAATTGCTTATAAAATCCTGAAGTGTTTACAAGGTGCAGACTTTTTAATTTTCTACATACATGATCTGTGCATCTAGGATCTGTGAACAAAAGCAACTTTATGTCTTCTTCCTCAACCTACGTAATATCTGTGTCCTTGTTACACTGTTAAAATGGAACAGTGAAGGGCATCTGGGAAGGGACTGGACCCTCACCCAGCCCCTGCTTTGGCAGCTGTGTCCTCTGACTCAGCAAAATGTGCTGAGCGTCCTGACCTTTTCCATCCTCCCTGTCACTGGGAGTTCAAACACCCTCCACATGGCAAGGAATCAATCAGAAGTTAGCTGGCCTGACTCTGGATGTGCTTCACAGTAAAAGTGGCCTGCAGAGCATGGCAACCGCCTTGGGGGGGCCTATGGGCCATAACAACCAGATGACCAATCAATACAGGGCACGTTGTTGCCCAAGTCGGGAAGCGCTCCAATCCTGAGACTGTTGCTCACTCCTAGACACTCCCCTTGCTCTATGCAATAAATTCACCGCCTTGCTGTTTCCCTGGGGGCCTTCTCACTCCATTGCTGCTGTGATAAAGGGCTAGAGTTAATGCAGTCTCCTGGTGATTTGGGGGTTCAGAATTTGAGCACAACATCTGGATCCATCTGGACAGCTGTGAGCTGCCATTTGGGTGCTGGGAATTGAACCCAGGTCCTCTAGAAGAGTGGCCAGTGCTTTTTTTTTTTTTTTTTTTTTTTTTTTTTTTGGAGACAGGGTCTCTCTGTAACAGCCCTGGCTGTCTTGGAATTCACTCCGTAGACCAGGCTGGTCTTGAACTCACTGAGATCCTTTCTCTGCCTCCCAAGTGCTGGGATTAAAGGCATGTGCTACCACCACACATCAAGGCCAGTGCTTCAGCCTCTGAGCCATCTCTCCAGCCCCAAGGATGTGCCTTCTTTTTTGGTTTGTTCAGATTTTTACTTACTAGAGGGTACAATGGTGACCTCCCAGCTCCTGAAATGCAGGCCCGAAGCTATCAACCCTTTTTACACTGAAGGACACCAACCACACATATGTGTGTAGTTTTATGTTCAAGGTCCCTCAGGCTGGTGCTAGGCCGGGGTTAGATACAAGCAGTAGAGGAAGGACATAGCTCTACTGTTTGAACAGTTGATTATTTTTTAATTGAGTGTGTGTGTGTGTATGTGTGCGTGCGCTCGCACTCGAGAGAGAGCATGCACCTAGATTCAGAGCCCAGGTGTGTCGGCTCTCCCAGAGCTGGAGTTTCAGGCAACAGTGTGAGTCAATGTTGCGGGTTCTGAGAACCAAAACTGGGTCCCCTGTATCGTTTAATCTCAGCTCTGTGGCAACAGGACTTCTGAGTTCACAGGATCACAGAATCTCATTTATAAAATGAAAATATTGACACCAGTAGCCTGTTCCACCAGGGGGGTTCTGTGTCACCATGAAACCCTAAATTCCCCGCTTCTGGATACTAAGAGTCTGCAGTGAGCTTGCTTCAAACACCAGTGATGTGACGCTGGGCCTTGCGTCCTTGTGTGCTTAAAAACATTGTGTGTGTGTGTGTGTGTGTGTGTGTGTGTGTGAGAAAGTACACCACCTCCCCAAAGCACACACCCACACAGAGACAAATACACAATTTTAAAAAAGAAAATCACATCCCAGCACTCACAAGACAGAGGCAGGCCAATCTTTGTGAATTTGAGGTCAGCTGGATTTAGAGTTCTGGGTCAGTCAGGGGTGCACGGTACAACTCTTGCCTTAACAACAACAAGACCAGCAACAACAATACCGACAACAGCAGCGATAATAACATAAAACGCCTGCAAGTCTGAGGAGAGGGACCTTTGGCAGTCTCACGCTTCCATTCAATGTTATGCGAGCGTGCCGCTCTTCAGCTGTAACCAAAGCTCAGATGGGGTGCGCCCTCCGGGGTTACAGTGCAGGAGAGGAACACCTAGCGCTGGCTGGCGGAAGCTTTCTCAGCGCTGCCACACCTACTGGGAAGGAAGGGCGGGTTTATCGCGGACTCACCACTTCTCCTCTCCCACTTGTACTCCCACGGACTGGAACTTACTGGGCGCCTTACTCTCCCCCGCCTTCTCCGGCTCTTCAGCATCGTCCACCTGAGGAAACGACCAAGCAAACAAGAGTTGAGCCTCTTCCAAGTTGCCTCACTCGAGAAGCAAATAAATGCGGGTTCATCTCAGGCCATCTGCGGTTATGGCGGGAATGCTCTGGAGGCTTATAACCTCTTTGGTTCAGGTTTGATATCAGCAATTGCTACCTTACTAGCATGCTCTCTGAGTCTGCTAATATTTTCTAGAAAAACGTGTGTGTGTGTGTGTGTGTGTGTGTGTGTGCACCACATGTGTGCAAGTGCCTGGGGAGGCCACAAGAGGGCAGCAGATTCCCTGAAACTGGAGTTACACAGGCAGCTGTGAGCCACTGTGTCGGTGCTGGAACTGAACCCTGGCCCTCAGTGAGAGCAACAAGTGCTCTTAACCATTGAGCCGTCTCTCTAGCCCCCGACTCTACTGATTTTAATAAAATACAGTTTTACTCCCAAAGCTGACAACTGTCTATGATTCCTCCACAGACTTACAAGCAGTCATTCATTGGTCTCCACAGGAATCAGTTCTATGATCACCATAGATATCCAGATTCAAGAAGCCTCAAATCTCTTACATGAGATGGCACAGTGCCTACCAATGACTATACCATACCTCTCAGCATGCTGTCATATCTAGAGCATTCCTACCTAATACTATTGACATGACATGCAGAGTTGCACACTGTACGGAATAGTGAAAGGAAATTGTCTATACAGGTTCGGTACAAATTCACTTTTCTAAGGATCTGGTCTCATTTCTGTGAGTCTGTCTGTGCATATGTCACATGTGTGCAGCTACCTCGTGGAAGCCAGAGGATGGTGTTGAACCTGCTGAAGCTTTCATTAGAGGCAACTGTGAGCCATTTCCACCGATGTGAATGCTGGGAACCAAACTCAGGTCTTCTGGAAGGTGAGCAAGTTCTCTTAACTACTGCGCCATCTCCCGCCCACCCCAGGGGCAGGTTGATTGAGTCTGTGTATATCAAACACTATGAGGGATAACTGTATGTAATGTCCTGTGACTACTCTGTTGGAAGAGGGTGTCACAAACAAATGCGTTCTTGGAAGTTCTAAATGAGCAGTGAAGACACAAGAGGATGAATGGAGATGTGCCTCAGTTGGCAGATTGCTTGCCAAGTATGTGTGTGTATGTGTGTGCAGCCCTGGGTTGGATCCTTAGCCCCGCATAAACTGGATGTGGTCGTGTACATCTCTAATCCCAGCACTTGGGAAGTTGAAGCAGGAGGACCAGAAGTTTAAGTTTATATGGCAAGTTGGAGGGCAGCTAATGTTATCTGACACCCTAGCTCACCCCACACAGAATACATATTAAATGAAAAATGGTGGGCTTCCGGGTGGTGGTGGCGCACCCCTTTAATCCCAGCTCTCAGGAGGCACTAGCAGGTGGATCTCTGAGTTTGAGGCCAAGCCTGGTCCACAAAGCAAGCTCCAGGGGTTACTCAGGGAAACTCTGTCCTGAAAAACAAACAAACCAGCAAACAAATAAATAAGAAAAGGTGGGCTTACGACATTACATGACAGGCAAGATCACATGCCACCAAGCCCGGCGACTGGAATTCAATCCCTAGAAGCCACATGGCAGAAAGAGAGAACCAGCATGTCCTCTGACTTCCACAAGCAAGCCATGCCATAAGTAGGTGCCCCCCAACACACTAAATAACTAAGCAAGTGTAACAAAAGAAAAAAATAAAGCAAAACATAGAGTATTGTAAGACACATGCTAACAGCAGGGCAACATAGGAAAAAGTAAAACAGATATTTGCCAGAAGATTCACTGATGGGGGAAGTCCTTCTGTGTATATATTGTCTTATTGGTTCATAAATAAAGCACTGTTGGCCAATAGGGAAGCAAGATAGGTGGGACTAGGAGTTGAGGAGGATTCTGGGAAATGTAGTCAAGACCAGAGCGTTGCCATGTGATCCCAGGAGGAGAGGGTGCAAGTATGGCATTCTCGGTAAGATAAGACCTTATAAAAATATATATTAGTAATTATGGGTTAATAATTAAGTCAAAGTTAGCCATTAAGAAACCTTATCAAACTTCCAACAGATTCAGAGTTAACATAGCATCCTGCGTGTTCATTTGGGACTGATGCGGCTCAGGGAACAGGCTGGCGGGAAGAATGGATGGGTTACAACTCACAAAATATCATTATATACAAATACTGAGTGCTTTGATTTCCCTCCAAAAGAGAACTGATTGGTTTTTAATCACAACTTGTTGAGGAGCCTTGTCATCACACACACACACACACAAGTTCTGGGGGCCTAGAGACATGGCTCAGAGACCAGGAGCAGCACCTACTGCTCTCGCAGGGGATCCGTGTGCAGTTCCCAGCACATGGTGGCCCCCAGCTGCCTATAACTCCAGTTCTGAGGGATCCAGTGTCCTCTTCTTCTTTTTCCCCCAACTCTGCCAGCTCCTGCATGCGTGTGGTGTACAGACATGTGCACTCAGGCACAGTCACATACAGGTGCACACAAAATAAGTAAATAAAAGCTAAACAGTACTCTGAGTTTCGGGTGATGTATTAGCGATGGAAAATAGTACACAAAGAAGAAGAGAAGGAACTAAACATTGAGGAAGTAAAAGCAAGCTGTCATTCCACGGCACTAATTTGGTGCTAGACAGAAAGGCAGATATTTTAATCACCGTGGTGAAGCCTGTGCAACATAAACTTTCCCACGGTAACCATGGTGATGCGCACGGTTGAGTGGCACTGAACACACCCATGTTGCTGTGCCGCCGCCACCAACAGCCGTGGCAGAATTATACCCAGCATCCCAAACAGAGACCCATGTCCACCCCCACAGGAATCTAGGTTCCGTGCGTCTTGGGGTACGGGTGAGATGGGGTGCCAGCCATGGCGTTCCCGTGGAGTTCAGAGGACAGCTCTCAGGAGTTTTGGTTCTCAACTTCTATCATGGGCCCTGGGACTCAAGCTCAGGTGATCAGGCTTGTACAGCAAAGAGCCTTTACCCTCTGAGCCAACTCGCCAGCCTGGAACCTAAAGAGTTTTAAAATCCTCATTCTTGGATGAGCAAGATGGCTCATTGGGAAAAGGCGTACTGCCAAGCCTGTGAAGCTGAATGAGACCCTGGGGCCCACATAACGACAGAGGGAGAGAACTCTCTCCTGTAAGTTGTTCTCTGGCCTCTGTGTGCGTGCCGTGGCGGTCATACACCCCCCCCACTCTTGTACACTCACTGCAAATAAGTAGAAAATTTCACTCGTTCCTAGTGCTGGTGATGTATGCCTGTAATCTCATCATTTGATAGGAAAGGCAGGGGGTGCAGATCCCTTAGTGATGGAAGGGAAATTTAGCTTCCAGTGGGAACCAGGAGATGAGGGCAGGGGGCTGGGGCTTGGGCCCTTGGCTCCTATGCTGTCACCTCCTCCCAGGCTTCAGTGTGGTCTCGCTGGGAGACCTGACCAGCTGTGTGTGCTATGCAGGCTAGGAAAGGCACCTGACTCCCCTCTTTGAGGGAAGGATTAATTGCCCTTCAAAGGTGAACTTCGCAGAATGGGCTGTGAGCACAGAACCTTAGGGAGAAAATGCGCCCATGTCTGGCTTTCAGATGTCTGTGACCCATGATCTGCGTTGCAGAGAAATAACTGTCCAACAGGAGGCGCCACCGACACCAATGTGTCTCAGGCTCACCAGATGGGGGCAAAAAAGCGAAGGATGGGCTGGCAAGATGGTTCTGTGGGCAACGGACCTATAGCTGACCCTCACGACTTGAGTTTGATGCCCTGGACCCACATGGCAGAAGGAGAGGATCAGATCCTGAAAGCCTTCCTCTGACCTCCGTGTGTGCTGCTGCTGCAGGTGTCCGTGTGCACATGGACACACATAATACATTTAAAGAGAAACAAAGCAAGGTTAGATGGCTGTTATTTCAGAAAACTTACAACACAGTAAAATACTTCCCCTGTGGGACTCGGGCTGGGGAAAAGGATAGAGAGCAAAGAACTGGGAAGTCTCTGAGGTGGCTACGTGTTTCCGTGAGACGCACAGCACGGCGAAACAGCCAACAATGACCCTGGGACTCATGGCATTCCTTCCCGGTGATGCTGGGGGAGCTGCTGCTTCCCACATGAGCGGTCGCTTTGCCCTTGGTCTCCCACACCTGTGAGTGACGAGTTACATCTTGTTCTTCAGTAGGGTTGGGCGTAAGGCAACCTGATGATGGCCACAGCAATACTTGGATATGCACTCCTTTGCTAATTTTGGTGTCTCGTGTGTGTGTGTGTGTGTGTGTGTGAATGTGCATGAGTGTGTGTGCATGAGTGTAAAAGTGTGGGTGTGCATTGTGTACGAGTGCTTGTGCACGTGGGTGAATATGTGTGAGCGTGTGTTTGTGAGTGTGCACGACTGTATGTATTGTGTGAATGTGTGTGTGCGCGAGTGTGAGTATGCGTGTGTAATATGTGAGCGTGTGAGAGTGCATGTGGGTAAGCATGTGTGGGTGTGTGTATTGTATGAGTGTGCTCGTGTGTGTGTGTGTGTGTGTGAGAGAGAGACAGAGAGAGACAGAGACAGAGAAACAGAGAGGGAGAGAGAGACAGACAGAGAGAGACAGAGAGGGAGAGAGGGAGAGAGAGAGAGAAAGGGAGAGAGGGAGAGAAGGAGAGGGAGAGAGGAAGAGGGAGAGAGAGAGAGAGAGAGAGAGAGAGAGAGAGAGAGAGAGAGAGAGAGAGAGAGAGAGAGAGAGAGAGAGAGAGAGAGACTTATGTATGGGCATGCGTGTGCCACAGCACTGTACGGGAGGTCACGCTGCAGGCCTCGGGTCTCTCCTTCGCAGGTGGTCTCTGTAGATTGAACTCACTCTGCCAGGCTTAGCAGAAAGCACCCTATGCACTTGGCCACCTTGCCTCTTACTCTTTTGAACAGAAGACACCAAGGAAACTTTCAACGCCTTCTAGACACAACAGAACAGGCACACGTATGAACTCACGGGGCAGCATGCATGGGGCCTGCATGGTTCTGGGTCAGATGGGGTCCCAGGGCTGAAAGGAGAAGTGGGCAGAAGCCCCCACCCTAATTCAGAAGCTCCTCAAGGAACAACTGCTTGCAAAGGAAAAATTCATTTTCTCCTGTGGAGTTTCACTGGGCTCACAAACCACGCTTAAGGGCAGGCCCCATGCCCAGCACAAAACTAACTCAGTGGTGTTTTTTTGTCCTTAATGCTTTGTCTAGGATCTTTTTCTTTTTGAAACCTTCAGGTCTTCATTTTCTGATTTTGTGTGTTGTATGGGAGCTCAGTGTGTGTGACGTGTGGCGTCTACATCTACATATACTTCTTATGCTCTTTCTTTGGTTCTTTTTTTTCCTTTCTGTTTTTTCTGTCCTACTCTGGTTTATTTATTTCAACTTTATTTTATTTTTACGTGCCTGTCTGTTTTCTAATGAGAGAGAGAGAGAAAGTAAGCATGAGGATTTGGGCAGGGAAGTAGGCAGGTGCTGGGAGGAGTTGGGTGAGGGGAAGCCATGATCAGAATATAGTCTGTGTGGAAAAAAAAACTTTCAATTTTAAAAATATTTATTTTTATTATATATGTATGAGTGTTTGCCTGTATGTGTGTGCACCATGTGAGTGACTGATGCCTGAGGAGGCCAGAGAGGGCACATGAGCTGGAAATTACACAGCTACCAAACCCAGATCCCCTGCAAAAGCAGTAAGTGTGCTCAGCCATGGACACGCCTCTTCCAGACCCTGAACTCTATTTGAGAATCAAAATGTACTTGAGACTAAAGTGTACTTTACGTTAGCATACGTTAGCAGCTGTAATTTTGCTTTTTTATTTTTTGGTATTTTGGTTGGTGGTTGGTTGGTTGTTTTTAAGAAAGGGATAGGCAGTCTAAAACTGCAACCCCCTTTGTTTATTTGCTTTTGAGACAGAGCCGTATAATGTAATACAGGCTGGCTTTGAACTCACAGAGCTTTGCCCGCCTGTGCCTGGTCATGCTGACACGGAAGGTCTTTACCCCCACACTGGCTCAGCCTGCAACCCTGTTGCCCCAGCTTCCTGAGAGCTGAGATTCCAGGCATGCACCACCTACCCCAGCCGCACCCTTCTGTTTAGCAGCTAAGAGGAACCGGTAAAACTTTTAACAAGGGTTAAAAAAAAAGAAAATTCAGCACTAATAATTTGAAATTCTTGTCCTACACATAGCCATCTCATTTCCAATGGCAAAATGGGTGATCTGGCAAAAAACAAAACAACAACAAAAACAAACACACACAGGAAAAGACAGAAAAAACACAAAAAGCAGGAAGAGGCATAGTTCTTAGTAGTTGGGTTGTGTCTGGAGGGCACAGAGAGCCGTTACCTGTATCCCAATAGATAGACATCGGTTTTTCTTAAAGTCTTTCTTCCTGTCCTCGGTCGTGACAGTGGCTATGGTGGTGGTGGTGGTGGTGACCGCAGCGGCATTATTGCCCATGTGTTGACTTGCTGGGCCGTGGATCTGGGCATTTGCAGCCTCGATGGCAGCGGTCAGAGCCTTCATACTGTCCAGACTCTCGGTGGAGTTGCTGAGGCCAGACTGGCTGATCATGTCTCCGCGCTGGCCTTGTCCATCCATGTAGGCGTCCTGCGCAGACTCTGTGCTACTCTGAGCTGTGATAGAAATGAAAGGTTTCGTGGTAGTTCTGGGTGGGACTGGAGGTGGTGTCTTCTTATATGTTGTAATGCAAGATGACACTGGAAGACAGTGAAAACAGAGACGCTGTGATTCCCGCCCGGCCTTCAGCCTCTGATACTTGTCAGTGACAGTCATTGGGGAACTGGGGCACGCGGAACACTCTCTTGGACACACACCGAACATGGGAAAAACAAAAACAAAAACAAAAAAACCGAGGCCATCTACGGGGCAATGAGTGAGGCCTTTGCTGGGGTCATAGAGGTACTGCCGCCTACGGGGTAAACGCGCCATCAAAATAGACAGGGAAGGACCAGCAAGCACCCACCGCTGAAATGGATGGAGGCTTCTAAATGGGAGTGATAAGCCAACAGGAGCGAGACGCGGCTGGTCAACCGCAGAGACTCCCAGGTAGCAACGGAGAAAAGAGAGAGGGCGCTGGGGAGGGATGGTACCGAGAGGTGATGCCAAGCAGAGCAGCCTGTTCGGAGATGGTTTCGGTGGTTGTGATTAACACTGAGCAGGAAATGAGGGGTTGTGAGCGCACGCAAGCTGGCCCTGGTAAGGGTGACAAGCTTGGGGCCCACATAAGCCACCGAAGCTCCCGGATTACGCCCGCCAACGCGAGTCCCTTCCCTGCCTCTTATCGCCTCTCTTTTCTGTGGTTTCTGTCTGTTTCCCTACCTATCTGCCCTCCCTGCCCCTCCCGCCCGTTTTCTCTTGTGGATAGGTACTGGCCATACAAACTTTTGTTCAGAAACTTTGTTTGCTGGGCGCGACGACGGCTCACTAAGGGGTACCTCCCCACCCCCAACACAGAATATGCACGTGTTTATAAATCGACTGTGAGCCTCTCTTGGTCTCTATAATATCAACCCAAGCCTTCCTTCAGGGAGGCTTCATCAAAGTCAAGGGTGAATGCGTTCACCCCAGGCTGCTGTTTGCCCAGGTCGTCTCCCAGGCTCCAACGGAAGCAGCTGCCCGCCTCCTCTCCAAACATCTGTCCACGGTTTTCCGCACCGTGGAGAACTGGGCTGCTTCTCAGGCACCCCCCCCCCCCCCCCCCCGTTTGTGGAGCGTGATTCAGAAAAAGGGAGATTAAAAAAAAATCGATTTCCGGCGGGCGGTGGTGGCGCACAACTTTAATCCCAGCACTCGGGAGGCAGAGGCAGGCGGATCTCTGTGAGTTCAAGGCCAGCCTGGTCTACAAGAGCTAGTTCCAGGACAGTCTCCAAAACAACACACAGAAACCCTGCCTTGAAAAAAAGAAGGATCGATTTCCAGGTAGGACCTCCTACCAGTAAAGCGCCAGCCCTGTGCCGCGTTCTGAACCAGGTTCCTGTCTCCTTCCACGCCTTCCCCAGGTACACACACGCCTGAGACCTCTGGGGTTACAGAAAACCCACACAACTCCAACCTGTCACCTTGGGTCCTCGATACCACTTGGATTATCTTACTTAATACAATATTCACTTCAGGCCTGCCCATGCTCCCCCAGTCCACTAATAATGATGATGATGATGGTGATAAAATCCTACGATGAATCATAAACAGGAGGGTCCTGTTCTGCTGTCCTGTCTCTGCTGCCCTGCAATTGGGGTAATTTCCTTAACCATGAAGAATTACAGCAATGTTGTTGTCACGTCACAACATCACATGCTCGGGAAGAGGATGCGAGCGCATACCATGATGGGGGTCACCGTAGTTATGTGGTCAAATGATCAGCAAATACTGCCAGGATCTCCTCAGGAGGGGAACAGTGAGTGATGTGCAATTCAGTGCTATACCCCCCCCCGTCTGTCTGTCTCTCTGTCTGTCTGTCTGTCTGTCTGTCTGTCTCTCTCTAACACTCCTGAGAAATAAATCTATTGGAAGATGATCCCAAGGGAAGAAGTAAGTCCCTTGTGCCTTCCAGGTCACAGCAAGAGCCTACCTAGACTCGGGTGGGTCCAATCCGCTGTCTCAGAGTTAAGCCTCCCACCAGGTCTCGTGAACCTGGAGGGGACTGGTAAGTCTCATTCTACCTGTTTCATGTCCTTCTCTAACCACTATGGCGCTGCCTCCCGACTCCCAGGAACAGGTTAAAGGTGGCAGCTGAGTTTGTGGTACCCTGTCTCTGTCGTCCATCTGAAGACCCAGAGAGGGTTGGAGAAAGGGGGAGGGCCATACACTCCCGCCTGAACCCTGACGACATCGGATCACAAGGTGACCTCTAGGGCAAGTCTTTACAATGTGAACTTCTTATTGCACTCAAAATCTGTTCTCAGGACATTCAGGCCCCACTCATTTTCCAAAGAAACTAAATGCCGCTTCCCAGCACACAGGGTCTGCTCTTCTAGGCTATTTACTTATTTACTGCTTGCTCAGAACCCTTTCTACCTTTTTCTTGTTATACTGATCATCAAGCTGTCTGTCTGCTACATGGGTTTGACTCCAGAAACCAATGAAACATTCTCTAAGTAACAAAAACAACAACAACAAAACCCAGACCGATGCAGAAGACAAATCATTTCATTTTCTAGAATATACAGAAGAAGTCCTGCTATGGGTACCTCCCAGTATTTCCAACACAATGGCTGGCTTTGCCTTCTGCAAGGCCCACATACTGCCCAGGCCAGCTGCAGTTTTCCGAGTGTCAGATTGGACAGGGGCAATACTGGGGACATGCTGCCACAGCTGCTAAAACCAAACCAGAATTTGAGATTGTCCTACTTTAATAGAGAGGGTCAGGAGCATTGCTCGGGCTTGCTGGACTCCTGCCTACCTCCATGCTCAGGGAGAGACCCTGTCTTGAAGGAATAAAGTGGAGAGTTATGGAACGGACCAGCCAGTGTCACCTCTGGCCTCTGTGTGTATGTATGGGTACTTTGTACCTGCAGACACATTTGTGAATACAATACACACAGAGGTAGAGATAGACAGATGTACAGATGATAGGTAGGTAGATAGATGCCAGATAGGTCATAGATAGATGATGTGTCATAGATAGATGATATATAGATCATAGATGATAGAGAGATCATAGATAGGCCATAGAGAGATCATAGATAGATGATAGATGATAGAGAGATCATAGATAGGTCATAGATCACAGACAGACAGACAGACAGATAGATAGATCATAGAGAGAGTCAAAAAGTCAAATCAAGACTTTACAAATAACAGATTCCTATCATTCCAGTCTAAAATTTTTAAGATTTTTTTTCTTCCACAGCATCTCATGTGGATACAATAGCCTTGGATTTGTTTTACAGCTGGCCTTCAACCCTTAATCCTTCTCCAATGTTTCGGAAGTACATGAGTACACTTTGGCTCAAGGTCGTCTATACTCTAAACGAAAAGCAGTGTCAGTGTGGCAAGCCTCAGGAGGGGCTGTCCAGAAAGAAGGCTTTCTGGAAGAAAACGTAGGCTCCTCCCCTTCTGGCTATCCTCTGTGCGCTCCCAAGCTACTGGACACACAAGCAGCAGGGGCAGGGACACTCATTGAATTGGTCTCTTTAAGCCCCCATTAAAGTTTACTTTAAACTACGCGTAGAAGTGTACGGCCGCGCCGGCATGTGCGGGTGCCTGCAGAGGCCCAGGCGCTGGATGCCCTGGAGTGCGCGCAGGTGTTGCGTCTTCAGATCACGGGTGCTGGGAACTAAATTCAGGTCCTCTGTTACAGACCCATGTTCTTAGCCGCTGGGCCATCTCTCCAGCTACCCAAGCCGAGGCCACCGCCCCCTTCCCCGCCCACATATTGTTCTCTTAAGAAGACTTTGTTGTTGTTTTGAGGCAGGGTTTCTCTGTGTAGCCCTGCCTGGCTGACCTGGAACTCAGCTCTGTAGACCTGTAGCTTTTACCGGCTAAGACAACGGGTCATGCATCCATCAAGCCTTACAGGGAAACTGCTCGGCAGCTGTTGGTTACCGTGACTGCAAAAGTTCTTCCCGATGTCGTACCTGACCTCTCTCTGGAGAGAATGAATGTCTAAAGAGACACCTGTGCTTCCCAACTCTTTGGCTATCGACTAACCAGAGTATTGAAAAGGAAGGTCCAGGAGATAGTAGGATTTCCCCAGAGATCTCTCTATGGGAGAGGAGGTAACTGAAACCCTCGGGCATCCAGGGGAGGAGCTTGTCTCTCTGACATGGACTGGCGAGTTAGCTGACCCTGCAGGGGAGTCCTGCAGGCACAGCAGTAGTGGGCTGGGCGCCACGCCTTTTGGAACAGCATTATCTCTTGCTTTCTTTTTTTTTTTTTAACATTTATTTATTTATTTATTGTATATGCACTTTTCTGCCTACATGCCAGAAGAGGGCACCAGATTGAATATAAGATGGTTGTGAGCCACCATGTGGTTGCTGGGAATTGAACTCAGGACCCCTGGAACAGCAGTCAATGTTCTTAACCTCTGAGCCATCTCTCCAGCCCTATCTCTTGCTTTCTAGTTAACCCGACACTCATGTCATGACCCCTGAAAGATGGACTGGGTGACGTCACTGGACCCCTTTGTCTCTCTCTCCCCTACGTGGCCAGATTGAATGGCTCCCTTTTTTCTGCTTTCACTATTAATTGATCTATTGAGGACAGGTGGCAAAACCTAACTTCTTGGGGGCACAGGCTGTGGCCCGTGAGTACAGGAACAATGTAAGAGCAAGCCTCTCAGGGACTACAAATAAAAACATAAGGGGTGGGTCTCGTGAGATGGGCTGTGTGGCTAAGAGCGTTCGTTGCTCCTGCACAGGACCAGGGTTCAGTTCCCAGCACCCACACGGTAGCTCACAACCATCCCAGAGGACTCCACCCCTCTTCTGGTTGGCGGGGGAACTACATACATGTGATCCACAGACACATGGACAGACACCCATCACATAATGAACAAAACAAAACAAAACAAAAGAGTCACCACTTATCTACCTAGATTTATTCAGTCACTCAAATGAGGTAGGTGATGGAATATATATATATATATATATATGTATATGAAATATATATATGTATTCTCAGCATTAGCAAGGTGGAGGTAGGAGTATCATAACCCATGATATGTCTAGACGGTGAGTTCAAGCTACATGAGACCCTGCATGAAAAACAAAACAAAAATACCCCCTCCCAAATCAGTTATACAATAGTCAAATAACCTTTTTATATGCAAACACATCACCCCCAAGGGACTTTTATTGGGGGCGTTTTTTGTGGCGCCAGATCTCTGAACCCACGGCCACAAGCTTGCTAACCAAGTGTTTTGCCCGAGCGCCAGCCAGCTGCTACACTGAACTTGTATCGAAGTTGTTATTAAGCAAGCCCCGACTTGTTCAGTCGGAAGCCACACGGGTAGGAGGGAACCAAGTCCTGCAAGCTGTCCTCTGATCTTCACATGCACACAAGATCGTCCGTGTGCACGCTAACCAAACTGATGAAAGAAATTAAAAAAACAAAGCTAACGTGGGTGGCTGAGATGGCTCAAGGGTAAAGAAAACGCAGCTGCCGACCCTTAAAGAGCTTGGGTTTGGTTTCAGAACCCATGTAGCAGAAGGTGGACTCCCCAGAGTTCCCCTCTGTCTTCCACATGTACACCATGGCATGCATACGCCCATATACGCACACACACATACAGAATAAATAAACGCATGCAATTTTAATTAAAAACACACCAAGAAGCCAGGCTTGGTGGTTAATCCCATCACTAGAGAGGCAGGCCGATCTCTGTGAGTTTGAGACCATCTACACAGTGAGTTTCAGGCTAGCCAAGGCTATAAAACGAGACCCTACCTTGAGAAAACAAATAAACACTAGATAAATGAATAAACAAATAAAACAAAAGCAACAGCCCCCCACCCCACAAAATATGTAATCATGAGTTATTCATACACGGAACATATGGACCATATTCTATAGTGAGGGGTCAGTTCTTGGGAGCATACAAGCGCAGATCAGTAAACTTTCTCTTTTTTTAAAAAGATTTATTTTATGTGCATGCTTCTTGCCTTCATGTTTGTCTGGACACCATACACATGCCTGTTGTCTGTGGAGGTTCAGCAGAGTGCCTGGGGTTCCCTGGCGCTGGAGTTAGGATGGTTGTAAGCCATCACATGGGTGCTGGGAATTGGAGCCATGTCCTCTGCAAGGGCTCCGAACCCCTGACCCATCCTTCTAGATCAGTCCCCATCTCTCCAGCCCCAGGTCAGTCAATTGTCAGGGGTGGGAAGATACAGAAATTGTATCGGCATTCGATAGATGGATGAGCTTGGTAAAACGATCTTGTTTTTCCTTCCCAAATGGAGCTTTCTGAGTGGGCACAATGCGGAAAAGCACTTTTGGGAGGTGGAGTCCTTTTGAAAGTGACATGAACTAGACACAGGAGGGAGGAAGCCACCAGCTGCACAGCTCAATAACACGCCGGCGTCGCCAGAAAGCATCCTGGCATGGAGGAAGACACAAGCGTTAAGAGATGTTTGCTGCCACTGTTCCCAGTCAGGGGACCGTGAATCTCAGTGGCTGTGCGGTTTGCAGTGATACGTCCAGGGAGGCAGGAACCCATCTGGTGCCAGACAAATCCTGGTCCTTCCCTGGGAAAAGTACAAACCCAAGAGACAAGCAAAGAAGCGGAGATGAAGAGGGAGTGGAGATTTTCCTAGCCACAGGCAGTCACACTGCACACTGCTAAGAACTTGAAGGTCTCCCGGGTGAGGAGGAGTCCACTCTCAGAGAAGGGCATGGCTGTGCTCCTGCCGCACAGCCGTTAAATGGCAGAGCACTCTGAGGTCCACATCCTTTCCCTCCCTGTCCTTTCTTTTTCTTTCCTTTTTTTTTTTTCTTCTTTGAGTCAGGGTCTCACTATGTAGCTGTCCTGGAACTTGCTATCTAGACCAGGCTGGCCTCAAAATCACAGAGGTCTACGTGCCTCAAGCTCCCTAGTACTGGGATTAAAGGTGTGGGCCACCACATCGCAAAATATTTATTTTATGTATCTGGACATTTTGTCCATATGTCTATTTGCACACCAGAAGAAGGCATAGGGTCCCATGGGACTACAGTTACAGAAGGTTGTGAACTCCCATGTGGGTTCAGGGAATTGAAGTCAGGAATTCTGGAAGGGCAGCCAGTAAGTACTCTTTCCTGCTGAACCATCTCTCCAATTCTGCCTTTTCTTTTCTTCCATCCTTCCTTTTTATTTATTTATCTATCTATCTTTAAGGCAGAGTGTCCCCAGACAGACAGCGGTGGTACATGCCTTTATTTACTTATCTTTATTTTATGTGTATTGGTGTTTTGTCATGGGTGATGGGTCCCCTGGAACTGGAGTTACAGACAGTTGTAAGCTGCCATGTGGGTGCTGGGAATTGAACCTGGGTTCTGGACAAGCAGCCAGTGCTCTTGAACACTGAGCCATCTCTCCAGCTCCTAGGAACACGCCTTCAATCCCAGCACTTGGGAGGCAGAGGCAGGCAGATCTCTGAGTCTGAGGCCAGCCTGGTGCAGGCCTCAGGGAAACCCTGTCAAACAAAACAAAAACAAACAAAAAGATGAGTCTTACCATGATGCCTAGACTGGTCTGGAACAATTAATCTGCTTCAGCCTGGCAAGTAACCAGGCCTACATGCACACCACGCTTAACTAAGTCAGAGTTCAAGCCTCTCTTGGAACCATTTCAAACTTACTCACTAAACCTATAAGAAGGTCCTGTGAGGTACAGAGGGCTATGTGGGGAGAAATCTCTCCCAGCATTGGGATATGTTAGAGAAGGGGTTTTGTGGTGGTGTCCCGGGGATAAATAAATGTTTTAAACTGGGTGGTGGTGGCACATGCCTTTAATCCCAGCACTCAGGAGACAGAGGCAGGAGGATCTCTGTGAGTTCAGGGCAGCTTGGTCTACAGAGCGAGTTCCAGGACATCTCACTCTATGTAGAGACCCTGTTTTCTCAAAAAGACCTGCTTTCATTGCTGAAACTGCCAAAATAAATAAATAATAAGAAAATAAAAAGAGAATAAAATAACCCAAGTATATATAAATTCTAAAAAGTTAACAAAACGTTACAGAAACTCTCTACCCAGCAGAGTCCACATGGAAAAGTTACTGCCCTGTTTGAAAAATATTTACAGCTTCCTCCTTCCCAGGCCACCCAGAGAGATAGGACGGCTTGTGGTGAGAGGAACGCTGGCTCACCCGCCAGCCCACCTCCAGGAGATACAGCACACTACACAGTAGTCTCTCCCTCCGTTAGTTCTGGCTCCAGGGAGGCGACTTTCCACTCAAGGCATCCTCCACGGAAAAACACTTTTTCCCTGTCACTGAAGGAAGAAAAGCAAGCGGCTGTTGTGAGTGCAGGGGTGGGGAGGGGAGGGGCTGGCAATAACTCTTTGCAGTCATCCACACCCTCGCCAGTTGGTGGTTACCAGGCTCCCAGACACTTCTTACTGCCAGACAAATGCCCCAAGCCTCGGCATGTCTGGCTCGAAGATCTATTCAACTGATAGCCCCCGCCTTTCCTAGGGAGAGCCCCACGCTACCCGGCTAATCAAACAAAACATTGTTCTCAGAAGGCAGGAAGAAGGGAAAGGCTTGTCTCTGGGCCACGACGTTTGGGGGTTTATTTAATACACACACACACACACACACACACACACACACACACACACACACACACCCTCCCAATTAATCCTGGGCTTCCCGAGACGAGGTTGTTTTGCACAGAGCGTGCACTGTATAAAAATTCCAGGAGGGGAGGAATCAGAAAGTTGAGAGTCATTAAAAGAAAGAGAAAGAAAGAAAGAAAAGAAAAAAGCCCCAGGCACTTGATGCCTGGAAATGATGTAAGACGCAGCCACTCCTCCGTTAGAACCGAACGGCTCTCAGATCCACCGCAGCTGCTCTCCAAATGTCAGCGCCAGCGCCAGGGCAAAGCTTGAAACCCACCATGCTCAAGGAGGCCCTTTCTCGTCCACATTTTCCCCCAGCACGCTTAGCAACCTGGCAACAGGTAACGTGGCAACCTTTGACTTCTAAAGCGGCGGGCGGGATAATTTCAGGGAACCGATGGATTGTTTCCGAGCCAGCTGCACCCTCTCCTCCCGCCCCCGCACCCGACCTCCTCCCTTCCAATCCAAAGTCTGAGAAAACAAATTTTAAAGTGTGCTGCGGGCTACCCTGCTCTTGGGCGCCCCCGGTGACCAACGTCGGAACTACAGGCACGTGCTCGGCGCTCTCCCTGGGTAAGTGGCTTGCGTTGTGGAAATGGGCAGTTGACCCTGCGGACTTGTTTCCGGTAAAGAGCTGGAAGCCACCTAGAATGTCTTCATCTTCGTTGTTGTTTTCGAGACCGGGTTTCTGTGTGTGGCTTTGGCTGTCCTGGAACTCACTGTGTGGCCCACTTGTGTCCTGCAACTCAGCCTTAGCTCCTGAGTGCTGGGGCAAAAGGGGTGAACCATAAACCACCACGCCCTGCTCCAAAACCTCTTCATTTTTATCTAAGCACATTGACAATTTCCTGGCGAGCATGGGCGTGCATGGCAGGTGGCACAGGCCTGTCATTCCCTCCTCCTGAGGCAGATGATGGAGGAGGATCAGGGTTCAAGACCCGGTCAGACTCTCATCTTGAGAAAGCATCAACGAAATTGGATTCCTGTTGTGTGGCAACTCCCATTTCCCCGTTTGTCTTAAGGTGTATTCCGCATGTGACACCTTTTGGGCCTACAGTTTTCCCTCCCCACCTCCCCCAATCAGCCCTGCTGGGTTCCTATCGGCATGGATTACTGAAGATTTCCACACTGCCAGACCAGCTTCCCAGACTGCAGCCTCCAAGCCCCAGCTACACCCAGGAAAACGCCAGCGGCAGTGTTTTTAGGCTGTCTGATTCTCTCAGACACTGCCTCATCTCTTCCTCTGTGGGGCAGGAATGGAGGCCCACACTAACCGGAGGACCTGGTACTCCTCGGTTCTGCATCTGGAAACGGTAACGGGAAACTGAGAGGTTCAGATCAAAGTAATTGTTTTTTTTTTCCAGAAACTTCCATTAATTAACTAAATTAGAGGACACCGAAGGATGCGGGGGTGGGGGGTGGGGGTGGAGGGGTGGAGGTGTCTCTGCAGAAGGTTCAGGTCCAGGGGTTACAGTCTGAGTGAGCCCTGTAATAGACTTTTAGTGAGGTTTGACAATCAAATAATACTAGAAGCTGAAAGTTACCATATGTGAAAACAGCTCATGCCTGAAACCATAGACATTTGAGTAGTATTTGCCCAGACCATTTAAGGTCAAAGATGAAAGCTTGGTTGTCTGAATAAGCATGGTTTGGCTAATGTGAATGGAAGCCTTCCTAGAGCCAGGGCAGCACCTGTGTTGAAATCGGGACATTTCAATCTCCAAGATTACTCATTTTCAAGGCAGGAGTGTTGTTCCCGGTTGGGAATTTGATCTGGACTTCACACTCCATTTTCCCAGCTTAGCTAACAGGTGCTGTTGAGTCATCGATGGACACAGATGACCGCCCAGGCCTTTTTATCACTGCAAGGCTCTCACGTCCATTTGTTCCGTGACTTTATGGAGTGATTCCTACCATTGACTCAGATCACTTCCTCTTAGACTTAGGGGATTGTTTTTGTTTTTTGTTTTTTTCCTTCTTCTTTAGCATTCGTAATCGTGTGTGTGTGTGTGTGTGTGTGTGTGTGTATGTGTTTCAAAATATGTCCCAGTCTGGCTCACAGGTCTTCCTGAGTTGAATGGACTGTTTACAGAAAGGGAAGATTCAGGACCCAAGGTCAGGGTTAGAGAATAATATAAGGTTTCCTGTTTGGGCAGCTGGTCTACCAACTCCTAAGTTAGGGCGGATGAAAGACAGCATGCCAGTTGGGTGTGGTGGCACACACCTGTAACTCAGCCCTGGGTAATACCAGAAGTCCAAAGCCATGCCATCCACAGTTATGTAGGAAAACCCTGTAACTACTAAGAGGCTGGTGTAGAGATGACGTCAGGAACAAGGGTGCGCTCATCAGCCAGGTGGCTTTCATCTCTCTCCAAATGCCGATTCTCAACCATTTGGCTGATCCTATATTTCTAGTAACATTATTATTATTATTTTATCCCCCCCAGGCCAGATTGAGAGAAGGACGTTCATTCACCAAGGAGGTATGAAGCACGCAGCCGGGCATGCTTGTCTGTCGCACGCACGGATGACACTGCAGTTCTTAGAGCAGGTATGTCACAGTCCTGCCATAGTAAACATTGGTTACGTGAAGGGATGGATGAGAATGGGAAGACACTTCCCGGAGAAAAAGGAAACGGGCCTCTGGCAGCAAAGCTATTCTGTGTGGTTTCACAGTCCACCTCCCCCACTTCCCCCGTGTAGCTGCTCACCCTGAATGGAAAGTGTCTGGAAGTGCACACTGGAGCCCGCATTCAACATGCACAGACTTTTTATTTGCTGTTCTCTGTGTAAAGTATAACAACGATATGGAAGTCCTTCTGTACATGTGTTTCTCTTATTGGTTGATGAATAAAACACTGTGGCCAGTGAGGCAGAAAGATAGGTGGGACTAGGACGAGGAGAATTCTGGGAAAGGGAGGCAGAGAGGGCCTGCCAGAACAGTCGCCGCCGAGTGAGCTGCCAAAGGAGCTAGAGGTCCGGACCCTTCTCCGGTAAGATCAGAGAGATAAATGAGCAGGCCATAGGCACCTTTACCTTGCTAACTTCCCAGCGGGGGAAAAAAGAGACGGAACTCCTATCTCTTCCGGCCCATCACTTCCTCTCTCGCCCGGTCATCTCACTTCTTGTCTGTCTATACATCTCACTTCCTGTCTGTCTATACAGACTTCCAGACCTCTATGGTTACCTAGTGGCTAACTCTGCCCCCTGAAATTCAGGCAAGCTTTACTGTGAGAGTACAAACAAGATATCACCACAACAACTATTTGCTTGGTCTACTTCTGTCCACACAGTCCTCGCATGCAAGCGGCTGAGGCGGGGGATTGCAAATGGAAAGCCAGCCTGGGCTACAAGTTGAATACTTGTCTCAAAACTAACATCTAGCCAGGCGGGTTGGCATACACTTTAAAGTCCAGCACTTGAGAGGCATGGGCGGGCAGGTCTCTGTGACTTTGAAGCTTTCCTTGTCCACACAGCAAGTCCTAGGCCATCAGGAGTTACAAAGTGAGACCCTGTCATAATGTATGTATGTATGTATGTATGTACGTATGTATGTATGTGTACACATGAGCACACATACACACACACACGGCCTATATCAGTGGTAGAGTACTTATCTGGCATGGTGGCAGGCCCTGTGTTTGATCTCTAGGTCCGCCAAAATAAGAAACAGTCGTTACAAAGCATTTGTATCAGCTGTCAGAAGTAATCTCGAAATGGCTTGGAGTACGCGGCACACAGGTTACATGCAAACACTGTACCAGAGACTAGAGTGGCTGAGTATCCCCCATAAACGTGCAGGGTAAGAGGGTATTTCCAGAATCAACCCTCCAAGGACACCAAAGGACAGCTACATAGTCTGCTGTCACCAGTGCCCACTTCCATAGGCACTAGTGAATGCTGGCTAAGTTCAGCCGCGAACAGCCAGCGTTCTCCACGGGGCTAGTCTGTCAAACCCCCAGGGTCATGAGGTTGAGGTGACTGCTCGGCGCAGAGCATGAACCTTGTGTGGGCTGAGCTCCACTGCCCAGCATCATCAAAATGAGGAATGTAGTTTCCACTCTCACCTGTGGTTTACCCGCCCAGCATCCTCCTCCGTCACACCCAGGTCCTGACTGGCTGCCAAGCGAGTGAGCGGCCCAGAGGACAGCCAGCAGCCCAGAGCCCCGTCGGTGTCAATGCTTTTGTCTCCCATCGCCTAGGCTGGCCTAGAACTCACTGGGTAGTCAAAGCCTGATCCTGAACTCCCGATCCTCCAGCCTCAACTTTTCAAGTGCTGGAATGACAGACATGCCATCGTGCCTGCCTTCCCTTCCGAGACCCTTTGTCGCTTTGTCTTATTTGAAAATCTTTCTTGTTATTATTTATTTCATTTATTCATCTGGAAAGGTCTCGTGCAGCTCAGGGTGGATCGGGGACTTGAGGATAGCCTCGGGCTTCCGATTGTGCTGCCTTCACCTTCTAAAGTGGGGTTGTGTGGGTATGGACCACTAAGTCTTTTTTTTTTAACGTAAGTGTTGGGGACTGAAGCCACTACTTTTGTGTATGCTAGTCAAGCACCCTACCAATTTAGCTACATCTTCAGATCTTCAGTCCCGTTTGGGTTTTTTAATTGATTAATTGATTTTTGTTAGCTTACATGGTTTGGGTTTTATCGTGGCATCTTTCCAAGAATCCTTCTCTACCTCATCTGAAGAAACTTAACTTGGGAGTCTTGGATACTTACCTGGGTGGAACTCACAAATGGCTGCCTGCCTTCTCTCACCGTGAGACCACGCCCATAAGATGCTAAGGATTCCTGTGCTGGAGGAGAGTGTCAAGCTCATGGTATCTGTCTGTGTTGCCGCAGGACGTGGGGGGCGGGGCTCTGTTTACAAATCAGAATGCAGCACATCTATGGAAGAGCTGGCCTGCTAAGTCCTAACTTACTGGGGCTTTGCTCGGAGAGTCCCTCGGCTTAGGCGCCGAGAGCAGCCTGGAGAATGTACAGAAAGGCCTCAGATATTAGAAAACCAGTTTGTGCTTCAGTGAAGAAAGGAAACCTCTCTGGCCTTCCTATTGGCTTCTGCGGGGTCTGGAAGGCGGGGCCTGTGGGAGGTGCCGGCAGCCCCAGGTGATGTAGGTAAGCATCTAGTTATCCATCTCCTTTCCTACTTTTTCAAAGGGAAAAGTATCCTCCCTGTGTATCCTCATTGGCCTCTGTGGTCCAGAGAGGATTGCCTCTTCCTCACGCACACTCAGATAGCGAGATCAGCCCCGAGAATGACAGATTCTCTTTAACTGCTTGTGTCACTGAGAGCCCAGGACACAAATCTAAGTAACTGTCCAGGTGTCCCTCAGGGCCCTTTCCCACTACAGGACTATTTAAAGTATCCTACAAAGGCTTCACTTACACTGTCACCCTAGGGTATAGCACGGTGGTTGAGCACACACCTAGTTATGTGCAGGGATGTATTTTCTAGCATGGGGAAAAAAAGGGAGGGGGGCAGGAGGCACTGCTGAGGGCTCCTCAACTGCCATTTCATTTGAAGTCCTTTTGAAGTTAAGATTAAAACTGGTATCAAGTTACTCCAACCTCTGTCCTCATGCACTGAGTGTTAATGAACCCAAGGCTGTGTGTGTAGCTGGTCTCATTAAGTCCCCCAAACAACCCTGCATAGCTTACAGATTAAAAAAAAAAAAGGAGGCCAAGAGAGAGGTTGCTTTGCTCCAGGATAGAGCTGGCTGGGAAATCGTTCTCCCCACTGAAGCCTACTTATTTTTCAAAGACCGTGCCACTGTATCTGCTGGTCATGGTGGGTGAACACTTGTAATCCCCTCACTGGAGAGGTAGAGGCAGAAGGATCGGAGAGGTTCAAGGCTAGCTTCCGCTACACTGTCAGTTCCAGGCTAGCCTGGGCTACATGGGACGTTGCCTCAAAACAACAATGGCAAAACAGAGTCTCCCTTGGAATCTTTGGGAGGACACTGCTGCCGGGAGCTCATATTAGAAACTCAGTCAGTAATCCCTGTGTGGCTTTGGGGATTTGCAGACAGCTGATATAGTGACCCCGATACTTGATGGTGGCTGTGAAAGTCTTGGTGTGGTCATGCTGTTGGCTGTTCCAAGGTCAGGCTTTTCGTGATGGCTTTCAGAAATGTGGATGGGGGGAGTCAGGGAATATTTTTGCAGCACCACCACTCTGCACTGGACCACCTGTAGAAGCCAGTTTACGTGTAAGATTTTATATTTCAGTTTCATTTTGTTTATTTATTCTGAGACAGTGTTTCACCATGTAGTTTGTAGCCCTGGCTGGCCTACAACTTTGTAGACCAGGCTAATCTTAAAGAGATCTGCCTTGCTGGGCAGTGGTGGCACACACCTTTGATCCCAGCACTTGGGAGGTAGAGGCAGGCAAATCTCTGTGAGTTCAAGGCCAGCCTGGTCTACAGAGTGAGTTCCAGGACAGCCAGGGCTGTTACAGAGAAACCCTGTCTGGGAAAACAACAACAACGGAAAAAGCCCTCCAAACCAAACATACCATAAAACAAACAAATCCCCAAATAAACAAGAGTTTAAAGGTATAGTTTAGGCTGGCCTGGAACTCCAGATCCTCCTACCCCTCCTGGTACGCAGTTGGGTTTGATAAAGAGTGTCTCTTGCTTCCCTGTGGAGTTCTGAGTGTCCATCGGTTTACCAGTGCACGGTACCTTGCACACAGCACGTTCTTTGTTGGTTTTTATTGCAATGGTAGGGGTGGCTGGAGAATCTTTTAATTGTGTTCTTTCTACAGGTTAGGGTAGTGTCTGAATAGCAACTGTCACACTGTGCAGTGTTCTTTGAGATAAACATTCATATTTACAAGGCCAACTTCTTAGACAGCAAAATGAACAAAGTAGCCTTTTTTTTTGGTACCTACAGGAGGGCATGGGTCCACAGTAGGCTCTGTTGGGGGTGGGGTGGCTTCTGGCTACAGTTTGTCTGAAGGCCAACTTTTCAACCATTGACGTTCTACCTAGTAAACGTGGTCTCGAGAACTCTATGCTCTAGTTTAAACTTGGGGGGGGGTAATGACGGAGATAATCTTTGTTACAGCTTGAATTACAGAATAAACGGAGGTGGGGTGTGTATATAGCTTGTGGCTTAGCGCTGGCCTAGCATATGGGGATCTCCACTGCCATGACAGTCTTCCCAAACCGATGCGTGGGTAGACAGATATGCTGGTGAACTGCACAGGCGACCGATCAAACACTCGACATTTTTATGACCCCAAACAAGCCCGGTACCTACTTCCTGGTGTGGGCTGTATTCTTGTTTTTTTTTTTTTTTTTAATGAACCATAAAAAACCGAAAGGCAATAAAATCTTGGTCTTCTTTTTCTTTTGGATTCCTATTGTCACCGGTCAGGTTTTATTAAGCAGTTAACACTGGGCTGGCGGGATAGCTCAGTGGGTAGAGCACACTTGCTTCTCGAAGCTTGGTAACCCGAGTTCAATCCCTGGAATTTACAGGGCAGAGCAGAAACAGCTCCAGCAAGTGGCCCCCAAGCTTGGTGTGCTGCCTTTCTCAATAAAGAAACGGATGTATTTTTTAAAACAAAAAACCAGATCTGAAGGGCAGCTGTGACCACTGACAATTCTCTTGAGCTTTCTAAAATACTAGGTGTTACAGGGCTTGCCCCACCCACCTCCCCGACTTCTCTCATACCTGGAACGGGAATGCAGGGGGGGCGGGGCGGGGGGGGGGGCAGAGGCGAGTAAAGGCTGGTGTGTGGATGTAAATTAACCACCAATAAAACTGTGAAGCAGAGAATCTTTGATGGCCGGCTTGCTCCAAGGCGCAGCCGGTTTGAGTCGCTGATAACCTTGTCAAACCCAAAGATAAAGGCCAGTCTCGTCACCCGGGGCACCTGGCTGAGAGGTAATAAACTGTAATCTCCCTGTGGTGGAACCGGGCCAAGCTCTGCCTGCGGTAATTACAGCTCTAGAATTGCCATCCTCCGCTGAGAGACCGCGATGGGGAGGGCAGGAAACTGTTTGTTTCTGTCCTTGGATTTAAAAGAGAAAGCAAGCGAAAACAAGGACGAAAGTCTCTAGGGAGTGAAAGAAAACAGCGAGGGGCCTGGGCTCCCCTCACTCCGGGTTACAACCAGTTTGCTAACGGTCAAGTAAAGAGGCTCAGCTGCTGACAGTAACCCCCAAACTTTAAGCAGGAGCCCTTCCCTCTTCTAAATGTAAATAGCCGAGTCACTGCTTTGCTAAGCCGGGGAGGAAGTTGCTGGAGCACCGAGTGACTCATTTTGTTGCACTCTGGCTGTTGGGGGGGGGGAGTCTACGAAATGCAAGAAATCGGGCTTTAAATCCTGCCTCTGTGAGGGAATTCCTCCCCGACGGGAGTGAATGCCATCCACACAAAAGAGCCCCTGTTGACATCTCATTTACAATCTCCCCTAGGACACAGACAAGACTGCCTCAATAAACCCGGCTCAGAAACACCCTTTGTTCAAAATCTTCCATTAACAACAGGCTACCATCACCCGAAGACTTTGCAAAAGAAAAGATTTGGTTGGAGGAAGCCTGGGGCTGGGGAAGCTGAAAAGGCAGGAAACTGTCCTTTGATCCTGGCTGTCCAAGAGTGCATGCACACAGAATGAAGTTAATGGCATTTCCGTATCATTTTTCCTAAGAGATGCCTGGGAGAGCCCCAAACCAGTGGTGGTGAACTCTAAATTTGATGTCAGCTCTACACAGAAACTTCTGTCCACGGGACGGGACTGCCAAACAAAGAGACAGTTGCTCTGCCCAATTTACCTGTTCTCAGCCCTGCGAAACCTGACACCGCCGCAGCAGAACACAGCTGAGTCTGTAAGAGCTTTGTTCTGAAAAGTCAGTCCTCAAACCTGCACCTGTCTGCAGAGTTCCTGATCAGCTCCATTGTTTTGGCCCCTCATCCCACTAAACCTTGAAAGTTCCTGTAATTATATAGTGCTGTTGTTTGGATACACCTTAAATTCCGTTTGGGTTTGCCAAAAAAAAAAAAAAAGAAAAGAAAAAAGGTGGGATTTTAAAAACAAACAGAAACAAATCATCTTTACCCTCCTAAGGGATCTTCCCGTTAACATGTCTAGCCCCAGATCCGTGGCATTTGTGTATTCTGGCCATTCTCTTTTGGATCCTCCTGACTCTTAGGTCATTCTGGAACCATTCTGTGTCTTACCCGGCCCTTTCCCGGTCTCTAGATCTTTCTGTTTATTAACCCGCCTTGGGAGTGTCACAGCCATTTCCTCAGGTCTCTACAGCTCCAGGTTGTGATTTATTAATGAGTCATGAGATCAACGGGAGGTGAGTCATGCAGTTTCACTATTCAGAGAGGGAAAAGGTCTAAACAGAAATTGCCAGAATGCCCTCACAGGTTAGGAAATGTATTGTTGCGTGAAGCGTGTTTGTCCGGATCTGTGTACAAAGTAGGCAACAGGTCAGGTGCTTTTGTTTGTCAAAACTATTTTATAACTGGTCACCCTGCAGGTCTCATCATCCCTGCTTCCAAACTGTTGTATATACTTAGAGCCACGGTGAAAACGTGGGCATGTATAGCCTGTCACCGAGGCTTACGAGTGTTCCCGGGAGGAAGGTGTCCCATCTGGAGCTGAGGAAACTCTGCTAGCCCTTCAGGTCCCTCTTTCTGACCCCGTCAAACTTTTTAGTTGTTCAGGTGGTCAAGTTTCCTCACTTTGCCCTGGGATTCCAACTGTGGGAGACCCTTCCTTTTCTTTCCTGGCCCAGGGACCAGCGTAGGTGTCACCCCCTACTGGAGGACATCTATCTGCACTGTCCTTCCAAATAACCTCTCCTCCATTGCTCTTCTGGCTTGACAGGGCACTTACTGTATTCTGTTGTCTTTTTAGTCCCTTCTGGATTCATGCCCCCCCCAAGAAGGCATTCTGTTAGCAGATGTGTGGCCTGGATGGTTGCCTAGGTGACTGGTTCACTCTCCATCCCACCCTAATCTTGGTTTTCCTCTGTTGAGAAGATGTCTTTTTTATTTATTTATTTTGGTTTTTCGAGACAGGGTTTCTCTGTATTGTTTTGGAGGCTGTCCTGGAACTCGCTCTGTAGACCAGGCTGGCCTTGAACTCACAGAAATCCTCCTGCCTCTGCCTCCCAAGTGTTGGGATTAAAGGCATGCACCACCAATGCCCAGCCGAGAAGATGTCTTGATGCCAGAAGTCCCTCCTCCTTCGGGTGAGCCGGCCAAAGCGGGTTGGATCTGATAGCCAGCTAGAGTAACTACAGAAAGCCCTCTGCATGCTGAATGACACAAGTCCTCCAAAGTCACATTTGTCAGCTGCTGTGGTAGCGGCCGGGTGTGGGTGGTGGGTGGTGGGTGGGTGGGGAGGGGTGATAAGGAGCAGCACATGGAGTTGCCTGAGAAGTCAAACCTTCATCACCCCCAGAACAGACATGGGTACTCCTCTATATCAGCTTGCTCTTCCTCTCACTTGGCTTTAACCTCCCAGCCCCCGAGGACAGAAAAAGTTGATTTTCATCACTCATCTTTCCTATTCTTGGACCAGGTTGACAGACATGGTGGCTGCAGGCAGATGCAGGTTCAGAGCTGTCTCTGTCACACAGCAAGATGTCCACGTGGGAGTAAACTCAAGACCAGTCGAAACCAGCTGGGACCAGCATGGTGAGAGATGATGGCTAACACTGCTTCCACGCTCCCCCCTCTTTCTTTTTGGTTGTTTTTTTAGACAGGGTTTCTGTGTGTAGCTTTTGGAGCCTGTCCTGGAACTCGCTCTGTAGACCAGGCTGGCCTGGAACTCCACAGAGATCCACCTGCCTCTGCTTCCCAAGTTCTGGGATTAAAGTCATGCATCACGACTGCTCGGCTAAATGCCCCCTTGTTATGGCGTCTCTACAGCATCGACTTTGCAAAACTCCTCTTACCATCCATCCTGGCTCCATGATACATCCCCAGACTCCATATAAGAACAGAAAAGAGGGGCTGGAGAGATGGCTCAGTGGTTAAGAGCACTGGCTGCTCTTCCAGAGGTCCTGAGTTCAATTCCCGGCAACCACATGGTGGCTCACAACCATCTGTAGTGTGATCTGGTGCCCTCTTCTGGTGTGCAGGAATGTATGCAGCCAGAACATTGTGCACATAAGAAATAAATAAATCTTAAAAGAACAGAAAAGAGATGCAAACGCTATTCCAGGAATCCCTACCCTGCCAGCCATGACTTACATTATAAGGCACCTGGTTAGTCCCTGCCAGCCACGACTCTTAATCTTCCTTACATTACAAGGCGCCTGGTTAGTCCCAACGGTCAGCCATCAGACTACAGCATCTCTCTACCCTCTCTTTTCCTTCCACTTTCAAAACTACTTTGTTTCAGCTTCAAAACTACTTTGTTTCAGCTTCAAAGCTACTTTGTTTCATCTGGAGTACATGGGCCAGGACTGCGAGAAGATGCGAAAGACTTGCTCACAAGCTGAGTTTGTAATAGCACGTGAGGAGTGGGGGCCGTAAGATCAGTTCAGGACCAACCTGGGCTACTGCATGGTGGTGAAATTGAGGCCAACCTGGTCTCAGAGGACTGAGAGGTGAGGAGACCTTCCCAAGGCCAAACAGCTGCTTAGGAGTGGGAAATTAACACTGTGTAGGTTTTAAATTAATTCAGGAATGCTGAAGATTATGTCCAGGGCATGGGGCATGCTAGGCAAGGACTGGATCTATAGCTGGTGGGAAAAGCACTTGTGTGACATGTGTGTGTGTGGGGGGTCCTGGAACCCATGGTGGGAGCAGACAACAAACCCCCCAAAGCCATCCTCTGACTTCCACATGCTCACTGCAGCCTTCTAACAATAAACAATGCAATAAAACCTTAAGAATCTCTACAACTGGGGCTGGAGAGATGGCTCAGAGGTTAGGAGCACTGGCTGCTCTTCCAGAGGTCCTGAGTTCAATTCCCAGCAACCACATGGTGGCTCACAACCATCTGTAATGAGATCTGGTGCCCTCTGCTGGCCTGCTGGCATACATGCAGGGAGAACACTGTATACATAATAAATCTTAAAAAAAAAAAAAAAGAATCTCTACAACTGAACTATATCCCCATCCCTTTAGAGATTTCAATATTTCATTAGAGACAGCATCCCTTTATGTAGCTCAGGTTGGCCCGGAACTCAAGATATTCTTGCCTGGGGCTCTCAAGTGTCAGAATTGTGGTCTGCCCTCTTGAAAGGTTTTAAAAGGCAGCATGAAAGACCAGGGTGATAGTTCAGTGCAGGACCTTGCCTTCCATGACCAGAGACCTAGGTTTAGTCTATAGTACCAATGGGAAAGTGGGGAGGGGGACCCAGGAACTGAGTGCCATTATATGGTTACATGAGAACAATCCATAATACAATCAATACAACAAAGTCAGGCGTTGGTGGCGCACACCTTTAATCCCAGCACTCGGGAGGCAGAGGCAGTTGGATCTCTGTGAGTTCGAGGCTAGCCTGGTCTACAGAGCGAGTTCCAGGACAGCCTCCAAAACAATACAGAGAAACTCTGCCTCGAAAAACCAACAAATAAGTAAATAAATAAATAAATAAATAAATAAAGTGGGCTGGAGAGATGGCTCAGAGGTTAAGAGCACTGACTGCTCTTCCAGAGGTCCTGAGTTCAATTCTCAGCAACCACATGGGGGCTCACAACCATCTACAATTCAATCTGGTGTATATGTAATAAATAAATCTTTTTTAAAAATCCAATAAATTAACTAATTAATAAATAAAGTAAGCTGAGAGGGGAAAAAATGGAAGAACTTTCTGCTCCCAAACACATTGTGCTGCCACAGCGTCCCAAGGATGCTCTTCTCTGGATGCAGGCCCCAGTGTCTGGACCAGTGGCTACTTGAGAGAAAGCTGTAACTCTGCTTCACGTGACCTTTCTTCCCCCATGTCCCTTCCCATGCCTTTTTACCGAAAGGAACTCCCTGTTGTCAGGGACAAGGCATGTTATTTACTCGCCAGCTTGGGTTTAGATAACCTGCAGTCTAAAGCAGAAGTCACTCCTTTTGGGCATGTGCCCGAGTTTCTTTGAAAACAGTCCTTGGCAAGGCCGCCTCCCCTCCTTTTGCTTGATAACACTTTTAAGTTTCAAAACCACACCTGAGTGATTAAAGATGATCAGTGCCACAGAATCTTTAGATTTACAGACCCCCCCTCACCAAATCATATGAAGACAGTCACTGACACCAGAATGCAGTCCTTATTTTATTTTTTTAGTTCTGTGCCTGAGTTACACAAGTGTGTAAAGTTCTGCGAGGCATAATTTCCAGAAAAATGACAGGTGCAATGGACTATAGGACCAGTGCTGTGGGTCAAGGTTCATGGTCCACAGCATATGCTGGCCAGAGAGGAAAAGGACAGCATGGCCTCCTTCCCTTCTCCAGGCCCTATGCTGAGTTCTTTTTAAATTAGTTATTATGTGTACAGTGTTCTGCCTGCATGTCTGCTTACAGGCCAGAAGAGGGCGCCAGATCTCATTGTAGATGGTTAATGAGCCACCATGCGGTTGCTGGGAATTGAACTCAGACCTCTGGAAGAGTAACCAGTGCACTTAACCTCTGAGTCATCTCTCCAGCCTGGAACAATTATATTTAATATGTACATGAATACGTATGCCTACTCTACCAGTAGGTATACATTCTACCAATGAGCTGGATTCGGTCTGAAGGACTCAGTTGGTCAATTTCTATTCTAGAATCTTACTATTTCCCATCAGGGGTGATGTTTGAAGGATGCACAAGGTTTTATATTTTCCCTTGAATGAAGGAAGATTTTTAATTTGTAACTAAGACAGTTGGGAGTTATATTGCATGGCTTTCGATGCAAGATCAGAATGTGTAATGCAAATTCTAGCAGTCCAGTGGTCTTAAGGCCGTCTTACTGTTAGGAAGCCCAGGACAACCTGTGAGAAAGACCATGTGGGGAAGCCTTGAGTCTACAGAGGGAGAGAGCCTCTGGTGGTTCCCAGATGTTCTAGCTCCCACTGACTGTAAGACCAGAAGAGACTCTGAGCCAGAACTACCCAGCCAAAGCCCTCCCCAAATTCCTGGTTCTCAGAAACTGATAAAATGTTTACTGTTGTTTCACATTGCCAAGTCCGTGGTTGGATTGTTACATAGAAATACACACATCATTGCTCTTAAACTAATGACTGGCAGAGGTGTAATCCAAACCAGTTTGCTATGACAGGGCAAGACAGTGCATAGATTCCTCCATCTATTATTTTTGATGAAGATTTGATCCCCCTGATGGGGAATCCTGTGGAAAATCACCCAACTCTATTCTAGGAACCTAAGGTCAAGCTGACCCAGCTAGCTTTTCTTTGCTTCTGTTAAAGGGCCTGCTTGTGCAGACACCTCTGCCCCGACTCCAGTCAACTGCTTATCTTAGCTTCTGTTAAACTGCTTGCTTGTGTAAAACTTTTCTGGTAGTTGCTGAGCCAAATACCAGGATTTGGCTTTTGCCTTTAAAAACCCATTATCATAAACTCGTGGTTCAACATTTGGGTCCTGAATACCAGGGTGTAGTTCTAGCCATCGAGAATAAAGACTTTTGTGGGGACACCAGACCTTGAGCAGAAACCCACTTCCCCTTCGGCCTGGGGGCAGGCATCTATGTAATGTTTACTGAAAACAATTCAGTGCTTTAAAGCTTGATAGGGCTCAGATAAGGGCTGGCTCACTGAAATACCATGCCTTTCACACCTCCTACGGCTAGATGCCTCTTCCTGTCCCTGCCCCCTGTGGTGTCTCCCCGATTCTGGGGCCGGAGATTAAACCACCAGCCAGGAGGGTGAGAAGTGGAAAGAATGGTATGTAAATGGATGGCAAAAGTCCTTAAAAAAGGGAAGCTCCTTTTTCTTAGAGAGACTTCTCCTGAGATTTCTCCTGAGAGCTCTGCTAAGCGGACTGGGGTCTCCTCCTAAGCTGACTTGGGAAGCATAAAGTTTTCTTAAAGCAACCGACCGGTCTCTGTGTCATCTATCCCGACCACCTCGCTACATTCTCGGATGCAGGCCGCACAGCAGGTGCGACAGACTTTCAGTTGGGTGTCAACTGTGAGTGGTTGTCTCTAGTGGGCTCCTTGTAACATTTTTTTGGAAGCCCCAGCAAGATTTCCCAGAGACTGAACCCAGACACTTAGGGGCTTCAGGACCCCGAAAAGCAGGGAAGAGTATGCCAGCTGGAGAAGACTTTTAGGAGAGCCCTGAGAATATACTCTTCGGCTGATAGCAATTAGCTGCCAAGTGCTCCACAGATATCCGCCGATACTGCCACCCAAAAGAAGGTAAATCCGAAGTCACCTGGTCGGAACAGGTCTGGAGGTAGGTGTGGTCTGTGGGAGGTGCCATCTGAGTAGGACACAAAGGGGAGATGGGATATGACCAAAGACCCAGTCAGTGCTCAGGAGCCACGTGAGACATCAGTGGACTTCCGTGGACTGTTGAGGTGTCCGAATGTGTGGTGGCCACCCCTAGGCTGCATTTACTATGTGTCTCCCTATGGGTTTCTGTCACTTCTATTAGTTGGAAAAACAGATCTGAAACGGAAGGGGGAGTGAGCCATCCTGAGGCTGCAGCTGCCACTGCCCCCGAAACAGTGAACGTACTTCCCGCAGTCCGTGGATGGTCTTGGCCACGGCTCTGTGACACCTGTAGAAGGCAAGAGGTCCTTGTGCACACAGGTGAGCACCGAGGGATGTCGGGAAGAATTACACATGCAAGCTTGTCTCTTCAAAGGGAGGGAACATTTGCGTGTCTTCCATCGGCAATGCTGGGAACAGGCGTAGTTTACGATGCAGTGATCTTCTGCTGTCTGTGGGGCCAGGCCTCATCTGAATCCTCCAGGCTGTTATGTTTGTTTATCCCAGAGTGCTCCTCCTGCTCCCCCCCCCGATGTTGAGCATTGCTTCTCAGTCAGTAAGACCCATCCTTATGAGAGATGCCACTTGTATTTTACAACCTAGCTTACCTTTGTGTTATTTTAGGGCCAGGCGAATCCTGACTCCCACAGACATTATATTTACGTCAGTCATTCCCCCTACACCCTCATCTCAATCATTGTTTCTAAGTCAACAGAACGCATCTTTGTGGAAACGCCATATGTACTTTGTAAAGGATTTTAGTGTAAGCATGTCCTAAGCTTTGCTGTATACACGGGATTGAGTTAATTGTCATCAAGAAACTACCCCCTCCCCACCCCCAAATTGTGTTGTACTTAAATTTGGCTGAAATAAAACCACGTGGTACCAGGTTCTGTAAGTCTGAACCAGAAGCAGCTAACCAACTCATGCCGAACCTGATCTCCTTCTTGCCTCTGGAGGATCGTTTCCCTGTCAGCTGTCGCAATTGTAGACTCCGCAGACACCCTCCTTTCTATGGTGGTTGGCTGCTGTTGTTGCTGTGGAGGTGCCTGTAGCTTCCTGAGCCACAGTGGTAGTCACCAGTTTCCCTGTAATAACCAATAGCTTTCTCTGGTGCCAGACCTCGCCTTAAGACCTGTGCCCTCTTGTCAGGGACTTAATTCCTTTTGGCCCAGCCAGGTTGACCAGAGAAGCCTAAAACCTCCATCTCCTCAGCCCCACCCGAGGAATTCTATGCCCCCCCCAGCCCCACTTGTGGTCCCACAGTCCTGGTCCTGCTCCCTGTGTGGAGGTGGGGAGGAGCCAGGGCTCCCATCCAGGGCTCCCTGCCTTCTAAGCAGGGTGCACACAGGGAGGAGGAAATAGTAATTCCCAGAGCTGCACACACTCTCCGCTCCTTCCTCTGCCTACTCTAAGCCCTAAGAAGGGGAAAGCAGTTCCTCCAGTAGCAGCCCTGGGGTGAGGGTGGGGGAGTGGGAATTCAACTTCTTCCCTGTTCATGGTCTATGTCCCCTTCCCTACTGGTGACATATAATTGGAAGACCCTGAAGCCCTCTATTTTCAGAGAGGTCACAGTCGCTTATCAGCCTGTTGGAAACTGTTTTAAGGTTGGAGAACACTGGATGATCTTTCACTAGACATTATTAGAAGGATTACCGGTTTATCCAAGGTAAGCCCAGCTACTCAAGGACTGGATGAATCGCCCACTGGGTTTGTGGAAAGGCTATGTGAGACATACTGGGTATTTATTCCCCTAGACCAAGATGCCTCCAAAGAGCAGCAAGGCACCGACACTGCCTTTGTCGTGGAGTTGGCCCCCAGACATAAGGTGAAAGGTCCAGAAATGAGAGGGATCTGAAATGATAGATAGGTCTCAACTTCTGGAAATTGTCCAGAAAGTTTACAACAGCCAAGATTCAGCTGGAGATAGACAGGGAAATAAACTCTCTGTGTGGTAATTGCTGCCCTTAGAGAAACAGACAAGAGAGGAAACAGGGGAAGTAGACCAAAAGAAAGGAGTAAAAACTTAACAACATTGTTTAATAAAGCCTGAGCCCAGATCTGTTGGAATTTAGACAAAAATATCCACAAAACACCCTGCTCGGGTATGTAGATGACCTCCTCATAGCTTCAACCACAAAGTAGGAATGTGTGTGTGTGTGTGTGTACATATGTATGTGCATGAGTGTAGTGTGTATGCATGTGGTATGTGTATATGTATGTGTGGCATATGAATGTTATGTATGTGTGTGTGGTATGTGTTGGGTACATGTGTTCCCACTGAATGTATTAAACCGATTGTTTCGGGATTATTGTTGCCTTGGAATCTGAGCAGACAGGCCAGTTATTTTCTCAAGGATGGGCTTAGTAGGGAGAGGACCAGTAGTGACGGCCCCACCCTTTGCTGTGTCTGTTCCAGCAGGCTAGGCAGAAGGGATACATTTCCTCTCAACTTTCCCCTCTCCCTGCTGCCTGGGGCAATCATTCCCTGCCTAGCTGGAAAGATACCACACTCACTTTCAACACACACATGAGGTCATCCCTTCAGCGCTGGCTGGAAGGCTGAATCACACAGACAGTGATTTGAATATTTGGACTAGCTGCTTCATGTCAGCTGGGTGATCCCAGGTGCTTAGGCTCCGTGTTCTCGTTTGTATGGTGGGTATGCTGAAAGCGTTGCCCAGATGGACACGTGAGGGTTAAATGGAAAATCTATATGAAAATTCTGGAGAGGAGAGGTTAACTAACACTACTGTAAGTAACTCTAGTTGGTAACTATCTTTTTTTTTTCTGAGACAGGGTTTCTCTGTGTGGCTTCCTGTCCTGGAATTCACTATTTAGACCAGACTGCGGTAACTGTTCTTGTACAGGCTGACACCAGTTCCTAAGCTTCATAGAAATCCATAACCCCTACAGACACATACGTCCATATACGTAAGGGATCTGATTCTCTTTCTCTTCTCCCTCTTTCCATCTCTCTTTCCCTACCTCTCTTCCTTCTCTTCTGTGAACTGAGCTTCAAAAGCCTTACACATGCTGAGGAGATGCTCTACCACGGAACCACACCCGCCAACCCTAGAGACTCAGCACGAGCAGTTAAAACACATCAGGGCTTGGATACAAAAGGCCCTGGCTTCCACCCAGGCACTGGAAAGAAAGGAAGAAAGGCAGGGAGGGGGGGGGAGGGAGAGAAAGAGAGAGAGAGGGAGAGAGAGACAGAGAGAGAGAGTGAGTATGTGAGTTCTGGTGGCTTCCTCCTACTGAAGCTCTCCTTGGGTGGAACGCAACTGGACCCGGGTAGGTGGCAGCTGTGATGGTCCCCTCACTGCTCACACTCCTCTGACTCCAAGCGCCCGCCCGGTACTTTTCCTCCCTCTTCCTCAGCCGGGCCTCCACACCACATTCCACTGCTCCAGCAGCGGAAGCAAAGGCGGGCTGAGGTCTCTCTGGGTGAGTGACAGCGTCTGAGATGAGATCAAGTCAATGCCAGTGTTGGGGGACAACAGCCTTTCCCTGAGTCACCTCCGTCCCACCTCCTGTGTCTCATGACACACAGCTGAGTCTGTCGACCACTGGGCCTGTGTAATGGATGGTGTGTCAGCCTTGGGTGTCAGACAGTGGGGCTCTGGTAACCTGGGAGCAATGTGTCTACTTGAGAACCTAGGGCTGACCCGTGCTAAGCGAGTGTGTCCTGGACTTTGGGGCTTAGCCTGGCACGCGTATGTCGTTCTGTGTCTCCGTCCCCTGGTGGAGGATGAGGGTTGCTCCAGCTTCCCCAATGATGTTGCAGGGATTTTCCTCAGCCATGAGGATGGGGTGAGACATTTACACACAAAGACAGCATACCAGGAAACCGGAAGGGCTGGGCGGGCCCCTGGGATTTAAAAGTTGACAGCTTGACCCAGCTGGCACGCTCCTTTCTGCTGTGTCATTTTTCCCCCCGAGCTACAGGGCATGTCTGCAGGACGCTCAACCCCACCTCCCACCCACGATCTATTCCCTTATTCTGCGAGCCCACTCATTTTCCTACAGCGTTTACCTTCTTAGGGTCCACAGTTAGAGAACACAGGAAACACGAGTTTCCCTGCTTCTAAACCCTATTCTGCTTCCTCTGTCTAACCAGGGGGAGTGTTGGACAACATTATTTTCAGGTGTGGTGCAGTTTCTTTACGCTCTGAAGCACTTGTTCAAGGATGCAAAGACGTGCTGCTCTTGATCATGCCGCACTAGCTTAACTCTGTGAAGCTGTGATTCGTTGCCTGTCTAAAACACCTGATGGTCCTAATAAAGGGCTGAACGGCCAAATGGCGGGGCGGGAGAGAGGATAGGCGGGGCTGGCGGGCAGAGAGTATAAATAGAAGGAGAAATTTGGAGAAGCAGCAAGAGAGAGCAAGGATGGAGAAAATGGGTGGGTCACCCAACCAGTCATGGAGTAAGAGTGAAATCAAGATTACAGAAGAAAAGGAAAAGGCCAGAGGCAGAAGGTAGATGGGATGATTTAAATTAAGAAAAACTGGCTAGAGGTAAGGCTGGTAGGGGTGGGATGGAGGGCGGGTAATAATAAGCCTGTGTGTGTGTGCGACGGAGGGAGGGTAATAATAATCCTGTGTGTGTGTGGATTGCTCCCTCGTGTGTATTGTACTAGGGGTGAAACTCGGGGCCAGGTGTTAGCTAGGTAAGTGGTCTGCCACAGATCTAGCTACACCTCCAAGCCTGCTGTTGCTGTTGTTTTGGGGTCTTTGTATCTCAGAATGGCCTGGAACTTCCTTTGTAGCTAAGGGTGATAACCCTGAGCTTCTGGTCTCCCTCCTGTCTCTGTTTCCCAAGTGCTGGCCTTAACGGGGTGCTGTTTCGTGTGGCGCTGGCTGGGTATTGAACCCCCCCCCCCCACCGCCCCAGGACTGTATCAACTGAGCGACTCAGACACTCCTACCCATCACTGTTTTGGAGACAGGGTTTCGCTATGTATTAAAATAGCTCAGCCAGCCTGGACTCCCCATAAGTAACCCCCCCTCCAGTCCTGCCTGGTTTATGTCAACTCGACACAGGCTAGAACCATCTAAAAGGAGGGAACCTCAACTGAGAAAATGCCTCCATAAGATTCAGCTGTAGGAGTCGGGCGGTGGTGGCCCCACAGCTTTAATCCCAGCACTTGGGAGGCAGAAGCAGGTGGATCTCTTGAGTTTGAGGCCATCCCGGTCCAGAAAGCAAATTCCAGGACAGCCGGGGCCATTACACAGAGAAACCTTGTCTCAAAATTAAGGAAAAAAAATCCAGCTGTAGGGCATTTTCTTAGTGATTGGTGGGGGGAGGGCCCAACCCACAGTAGGTATTGCTACACCTGGGCTGGTAGTTCTGGGTTCTTTAAGAAAGTCGGGGCGTTGGTGGCGCAGGCCTTTAGTCCCAGCACTTGAGGGGCAGAGGCAGGCAGGTCTCTGAGTTCGAGGCCAGCCTGGTCTACAGAGCGAGTTCCAGGACAGGCCCCAAAACAAAATAGAGAAACCCTGTCTTGAAAAAACAAAAGCAAAACAAACAAAAAAAGCAGGCTGAGAAAGCCATGGGAAACAAGCATCTCTCTTCCATGGCCTCTGCGTCAGCTCCTGCCTCCGGGTTCCTGCCCTGTTTGAGGTCCTGTCCTGACTTCTTTCAACAGACGTCTAAGTCAAAGAAACCTTTTTCTCCCCAGGTTGCTTTTGGTCATGGCGTTTCAGCACAGCAATAGTGAACCCAACTAGGTTCACAAATGCCCCAAGACCCATTTGTGTATAGTCCCCTGCCTGTGGGTGGTGGGGAAACCACTTGGCGCTTGGGCATAGTGGGAGAGGCTAAGCCACTGAGCAAGAGCCCTTGCAGGACCACCCCAGGTATGATGGTGCTGTCCTTCTGTACCTATGCTTCTCTCATTGGTTAATGAATAAAACGCTGACTGGCTGATTGGCCAGGCAGGAAGTATAGGCAGGGCTAGGAGATGAGAATTCTGGGAAACTGTAGGCAGGCAGAGTCGTCATGTAGACCCCAGGAAGAGAGGACGTGCAAGGCCTTCTCCGGTAAGCCAAGACCACATGGAAATACATAGATCAATAGAAATGGGTTAATAATTAAGACAGAGCTGGCCAATAAGAAGCCCAAGTCACTGGCCAACAGTTTTATAATAAATATAGCGTCCGTGTGTTTAATTGGGGCCAAAGTGGCAGCAGAAACAAGAAAACCACCGCAACACAGGTGTTCTCTCTTTGCTTCTCAGAAGACATTAGTGAGCTCTCTCTCCACCATCACATTCTGTCACAGGTCTGATGGCAAGGGGGGGACGGTCAGCATTGATGGACTGACACTTGTGTGACCATGTGCCAACCCCTGTCCCTGCCTTGCTAGGAAAGTATCTTTATTGTATGTGTGTATTTTATTTTTGCGTCTGAGTGTTTGTATGTGCACCCTGTGTGTGCCTGATGCCCCCAGAGGTCAGCAGAGAGCACCGTCCCTCCAGCAGTTATAGAGTTTCTAAGCCATTATGTGGGTTCTGGGAGCCAAACCCAGGTCCTCTGCAGGAGCAACAAATGCTCTTAGCTGCTGAGCCCCCCTCTCCAGCCTCCTAGGAGAGTATCTTTAAAGTGAGCAACACACTTGTTTTTCTCAGCCCTGTTTTTTTCTCACTGGAATACTGACACTTCATGGAATGAAGTTTTCCGTGACTGTAGAGTTGAAACTAAAGCCAAATGAAAAATTAAATTGAGCCGGGTAGTGGTGGCACACGCCTTTAATCCCAGCACTCGGGAGGCAGAGGCAGGCGGATCTCTGTGAGTTCTAGGCCAGCCTTGTCTACAAAGTGAGTCCAGGACTCCAGGACAGCCTCCAAAGCTACAGAGAAACCCTGTCTCGAAAAACCAAAAAAAAAAAAAAAGTATCATCAGAAAGTTGACCTCTGATCTCCACGTACACATCATAGCAAGCACACACACACACACACACACACACACACACACACACACACACACTCGGAGCAAAGCTCCATGTGACTGGCTGAGGTGGGCCATCAGTTTCTCCAGCCTTTGAACACAGTAGTGACATTGTTTTTCCTGTGTGTGGAGCCCGGAACTGGTCAGATTAAAACTACCATTACCCCTCCTGTTTTTCAGGCTTTTGGATTCAGAGCCCAACTAGACACCAGCTCACTTGGCTTTGCTAGCTTAAAACTTCCCCGCCTTTCTGTGTGAGCGAAGTCCTCCTAGTTTGCCTACTTCTCTCCCTCTTTCCCTCCCTCTCTCTCTTCTCAGCCTGGGGTTCTACAAAGGTCAATCTAGTTTTCTCCTTTCCCTCCTCCCCCTCTTTGTCAAAGCAGACAAAGCCAGCACCCCTGATGCAGTGCTGCCCCTCCCCCACCGCTCTATAGAGCGGCTTCTTAAGGCTTCACCTGTGCACGGGGCTGTTTCTGGCCACTGCCCAGTCCCTGTGCCTACACATCTTACTATCATGGGGTCATTTTTAATCTTGATGCATGATCTTCTCATTTAAGAGTGTCTTCAGCTGGGCAGGGTAGTGTGTTTTTTAACCCCAACACTTGGGGAAGCAGGGGCAGGGGGCCAGATGTAGGCAGAGCTCTGAGTTCAAGGTTAGTGTGGTCTGAGAGTAAAACCCTGTCTCAAGAAATAACAAGAAGTACTTTGGCTATATTCAGCAGAACTAAAAGTGACCAAAATTAATTAGGCTTTTAATTGAGATCACATTGAACTTACAGGTAACTCTTAGGAAAACAGGCATGTTTAAACGAATTTGGGTGTTACAATTTGGGTTTGGAGCGTCACAGTCTCTGTAAGTCTGTACGTTTAAGTTCCCGGGAGGGAGCTGCACCTATATCACCATTCACAAGGCCGAATTGACTGACTGGAACTTCAGTGACCGCACAGAGGTTGGAATGTTGACAAGCCAGAGCCGAATGCCTTGAGCTACCTATCTTACTTAGACCGCAAGAAACCGTTTATTGCCGGTCTTGTGTGTGACCTAACATCCTGTCACTATTAAGTAAATCCTTTGGAATGTAAGAACAGACCCTGGCTTCCACCAGGTCAGCAGCTAAGAGTGTCACCCTATAGCATCAGCATCTATGATAATAGATTGCTTTGTGTAAGCTGTCTCTACGTTAGGTACCCACCGGTGTATCTTAGAAGTATTTGATTTATGGCTTTCTTTGTTCTGTCACTATTAAACTCCAGGAGCCTCTGTTACTGTCTTAGAACATGGTGTTCCCGGCCATGGCCACACTCAGGTTTGGCTCCAGAATAAACTGTTTTGTCGTTTTTTTGTTTTTTGTTTTTGTTTTTTTTTTTTTGAGGTCAGAGCTATGTTTTTTTTTTCTTCTCTTTTCTCTCCGTCTCATAGGTAAAGGCTGATACCAGACTGTGGTGAAATAGGGAGGTGGGGGGCATTAGATCACTGGGGTGCCCTTGAAGGGACAGCAAGATTTTCCTTTCTTCTTAGCTGCCATGTGTGAACAGACTCACCCCATAAGATTCACTCCATCAGATCCACCCATCATGTGTTTCCCCATGGTTATTTTCTTTTTTATTATTATTTTCTGAGACAGGGTTTCTCAGGCCTAGCAGTCCTGGAACTCGATTTATAGACCAGGCTGGCCTTGAACTCACAGGGATCCACCTGCCTTTCGGATTAAAGGTGTATGCCACCACTGCCTGACAAGTTCTTATTACATGTTACATTTTAGGTCCTATATTAGTTTATAACTTCCTTTAGTACTTGTTGTTGGTAAATATAATGTGTAATTTATTGATGAATTTTTCTAATTTACTTTTTTTTTTTTTGCGATAAGGTTTTCCTTTTGTAACCATAGCTGTCTTGGAACCAGGCTGGCCTTGAACTGGGGATCCATCTGCCTTTGCCTCCCCAGTTGTGTGCCACTATGCCCAGGTTTTTATCTTTTAATTAATTAAATTCAAGGTGTGACTATGTAGCTGTGGTTGGTTTAGAACTCCGTGTACTAGGCTATCCTTGAACTCACAGAGATCTGACTGCCTCCACCCTCCTGAGTGCTGATATTGAAGTTGTGTACCACCATGAATGCCTAATTCTAAAAGTTTTTAAATGAATACTTCTCACTTATTTGTATATTCCTTGGCCTTCACATGTATTCACAGTCTGAGGCTAGCCTGGGCTACACAGCAAAGACCATGTTTTAAAAAAATCAAAACGCAACCTTCAAATACACCTGAAGTTGTTGATACCCTCTCTTTCATTTTTTTAAAAGACTTACTTTGTTTCAAATTGTGTGTATTTGTGTGTCTGTGTGTGCCTGTGTACACCTGAGTTCAGGTACCCTCGGGGGCCAGAAGAGGGAGCTGCAGAAGGTTGAGAGAGACAGGAGTGGGGGGCTGGGAACCAACCGCATTTAGGTTTCAGGTGAGAATGTCACAAGCCGCCACCTCTCCATCCCATTCTCCTTTGTTTCCCTAAGGGCTGGTGGAAGACAGTCTTGGACTTCCCATCTCAATTCAACTTGTCATTGGCTAATCTG